CCCCAAAACCCCAAAACCCCAAAACCCCATGGACAATAAAAGATATTGAGACAAAACGGTTTTAGAATATAAAATAGGATTTAAATGTGAAGTAATCTGTTTTAGAGTGTGTTGATTGCACTTGCTTAAAGGCTCTTCATCGTTTGATGAACTAATCGAATTTCTACACAGATGATGCCGATCTCTGAACCGTATGATGAGAAGGTAGGCCAAAGAATCTCTTCTAGTTCTTAGCATAGTTAGGATCCTTCATGATTTATTGTTCCTTTAATAAATTGATTAAATGCAAGAACTTACATGTTCTCTAAGTTTTTATTCGTTGAGGACTGAGACTACTTATTTTTAGTTTTCTCCAGGCTGATGATTAGGAATCACTTTTTATATCTTGAATGGTCTTTCACCTTGAGGAGGGGCCTCCATCCCATAGAAGTTAGCAGCATTCTTTTAGAACACACTGCCTTGTGATTCACTACATTAAATTGTTTAATTATTCTAGAATAACTTACGTTTCTGAAACGTGATCCATACCATAGAATTTGCCTGCATCTTTCTTGAAGTGACCGCTTGTTACATTCACCTAAGGTCCTTGATTTTAGTTTGTCTATTTAGCAGGTAGAAGCTTTGAATCATTTTTATTATAATCAGTTCCAAAGAAGTTCGCTTTATTCTTCTAGTATATGCTTCCTTGAGATTTCACTTCATATTAATCACCATAGAAAACAGCAGCATTTTTTTAATAATGTTCAGAACTAGGATTCACTTCTATGTTTGTCTGAACATTCAAGAACTTATCTCCGATTGTATTATTAGTATTGACTAACTTAGGTTAAGTTCTGTTGGGATCATCTCCGTAGAATTTCGCTGCATTTCTATTGAACTCACTCTTTGTATCAGCGTTGTCAATGCCATAGAATTTTCTATGATTTTTATTGAAGTCAGGATGACCCTTTACTTCTGAAGGCAATAATACTGGTTGAGTTATGCCTCGTCCTTCTTTGCTTGCCTAGTATAGCTTGTTAAAGTCTAATTTTTAAGCTTGTCTTTCATCCACACCATAGAACTTGATGTAGTCTTCCTTAAATTTCTCCTATTTGTACTCTGGAATATTTGATAGTGGTCCAGGTTTGTTAAATGTCTACTGTGCAGTTTGTTACTGAGTTGATCTGCCAAAGTTCTTCTATGATTAAGTCAAGGTATTCTTCGTTTAAGAATATGGATTTTACTCTCCTAGTTCTTTTGAACCTGGAATCTGATAATCAGGATCGAGGGGGTTACTAATTCTATTTGTTGCTGGTCCTTTTCTCAATGAACCACTCTTTGCTCCCTCAATGTCATCAGTCTTATTTGTTTATCTATAATCCTTTCTATCGTGATTCTCAGAAAATACACCTAAGCCTTTAGTGCTTGCCTTAGCACCAGTGATATCCTCAGTTCTTAGTGAAGCAATTATTCTTGGATCTTATCTTGGAGCTGGCATACCTTATGGCCTGCTGCCTGCTACATCTCCGATTTCAATTAAGTTTCCATTGTCATCTCTAGTTTGATAAGTTGGATTCAATGGATTTGTTGATCTCATTGTTACGAATTAAGCCTTGGTAATATCTGAATAATCATAGGCATCGAAACCATTTGAGCGTTACCTTGCTTGATGTCTTATTGTTGCCTTGGTTCCTTCGATATCATCTAGTTTCATGATCTCTCTTGTTTTAATATCATTTTATTTCACTTTCTTTGGTCTAGCTCCTTCAATATCGTCAATTTCCATATGATCTCTAACATATCTTGGTGGTGTAAAGGGCCTTTACTCCACCTCTGGAACTTTATACTTTGGATTAAGAGGATCTCCTCCAATTCTTGTGGTTGAAAATTTGACACAGTTTGGCTAATCAACTGCTTCTAAGTTATATTAAGGCTTGTTTAAGCCAATATGAAGAGCTGCAGGGCTGGATCTGGCAATATCCCAATTAGTGTTAGTAAACTCTTGCTTGTTAACCTGCTTAGAACCGTGTAATTTAGGTGATGCTCCTAAAAAAACGTAAGTCATCCATTTATTCATAGATTATTGATCTTACCATGAATATCAGAAGTGTTTAGATTGTTTGATTCCATTCTTGAGCTTTGAAACTTTTTAGTTGTTGTTTTCGCTATATCCTTCTGTGGGTGGATAGTTTGCAGGGACATTAAATCCTTGCGGTTAGGCATTGGATAGTTAAATGGGTCTACTTAAGACATATTATTTTATTTTAAGAATTTATATCATTCTTGCTTCTCGCTTTATTATACAATTCAAGATTAGAGGGGTTTTGGGGTTTTGGGGTTTTGGGGTTTTGGGGAGATCGGAAGA